ATATATATATACTCTTAGTCTCTGGTGAAGGTAGTGGGGGTGCAGAGAGTCGTTCATCACGAGAGACACTAACTTGCCTTGGGCAAACATACCCATCACTGCAACTTTACTTCCTTTATCATTACCATCATACAGGGTGCTACATACAATGATGGTTGCTGCATCTCCGATTTGTAAGTGTTCGTTATCGTCTGTATACGAGTCACGCGACACAGATCTAATGCAGCCAACAGAACTAAAACAAGATTGTGCACAGATTGGTTCAGAAATTAACAAACTCCGCCATCGCACATAGAGATAATATTATTGAGCCCAACCTCCGCAAACTTTTTCACAAATCTGGGAGTTGAACCCAGGACCGCCCCAGTGGTAAGCGTGCACTCTTATCACTGAGCTATATCAGATGAATACTGTTCTTTATTTTTTTAACTTTTTTTTCACCGAAAAAGTAAATTAAAATATCGACATGTATTGATAAAATAACGACATGTATTGGCCCAATGTCAGCTCATCCATCATATTCAATGCCAAATTTCACGCATATTAAAAATTTTCCGTTATTTATTAGGATTAAATAATTACAAATCCTTAAAATAAGAAATAAGAAATATTTTTTAAAAACGGATCAAAATTATAATACGAAATGTTAAATAAGCAAAGGATCAAAATTAAAATAAGAATTATAAAATAAGGGTGGTTCTTAACGAGGAGTTTTCAATAAATCCGTTTAATTAAAGGTATTTTTCAACCAATGAGAACACATAGTTTTTATTTTTCGAAAATTCATTAAACAACAAGGTGCTCAGAATTTGTTGTTAAAGGCTAACGAAAAACGAGAATACGTACCGTTAAAGTACGTTTGTCGACTGTGACGTAGAACAAGTAAAAACATTTCATTGGTAGAATGGAAAACCGCCCTTTTACAAGTGTGGTGTCAAATGTTGTGTGTTTTCACTGTTTTGAGCGCTCAATTCAATTGTGCACACACATATATATGAAGTTGCCGGTTATAGGTAGATCCACACTCAGTTATCTATGGAAACAGTACAGATGGAACATAGTCGAATACGAACATAAAACGAAGAACATGAAGGAATCATAATGAACAAGTGCTATTGACTCGCAAACTATACCATGTCGGCATCGCAACAGCAGGCTAATGCAGCATCGAACCCGAATACTATGGGGACGCAGCACACAGCATCAACTTCCTCAGGGATTGAAACCAATCCTATGCAGAATGCTAGCACACCGCCATCGAATCAATCGATGACGATCACTTCTCAAGCGTCTTCGAGATCTTCAGGCACTTCATCGGATTCGCAAGGAGAAACAGATTTTCAAGGAGAGACAAAGAGTGTAACGAGGCGCACACAGCAGCCAAATTAATCAGCATGTCTTCGTGAATCGGCGTACAAAAAACACATACGAAGGGAAGAAATGCTAGGTCTTGCCGTTAGATGAGTACCTGTCAAACGTGAAGCAGCAGGCGATGTATCACTAGAAGAGGGTGATACACAAGCAATGCTTGACAATAAGGCTACCGGAGACAGTAACGTATTTTGGGTCGATGTAACTCAAGAATTTATGAATCCCGATTATGCATGGAACATGACAAACTAAATAATTCTAAGTGATGGTGAAGCCGATACATGCGATTCTGACAGCGATGACGGTAATGTTGACGATGCAATTCTGCGAGCACGAGTAACTAAGCACGCTGACAAGTTAGCTGAACGGCGTAGAAAGAAGTCACAGTATCCAGCCTCTCCTCCACTCGAACAGTCGAAAAGGGACTGGCATTTCCTGAATGCTACCCAGAAGAGCATGGTTGAGCGAATAGGACGAGTCGATCCTATGGATATGACATTTATAACACAGGCCCAAAAGATGTTTGGAGACATTATTTGCAAGACAGCCGTGAGAAACAGACTAATCTCTTGGTGGAAAGATGCCAAATATAGCTTTGCGATTGTGTAAACAAATAAGGAGAAATCTGGCCATCATGCGCCCACATTTATGGATTTCTTTAATGGTAAGATTTGCGTACTGATGTTGTACACGTACATATTGCAACGTGGGGAGGGTGCCTTAGAAGCACTTGTTGCTGTTGCAGGAGGCCCACTAACTATTGGGATGTCTAGTGCAATTGAATGGGAAAACACAGAAGTTTCTGATTGCGCTGACTCCGGGGTGTCCACAACATCAACCGGACCTACACGCAGCGCCAAACATAAAAAGGAGCTAAAGAGGAAAGAACAGGCCATGAAAGAATTGGCGCGTTCAAAGGAAAGCGACGAAGCTATGAACGAAACATTTTTAAAGGGGGTACAGATGTTCATTGATAGCGACAACGTGCGAGACATGGCTACACTTTCAAAAGAAATACTGGAACTCAAGAAAGCTATACTAGAAGTTGATGATGATGAAGAGCTAGAAAAAATGTTTACCAAAGCACTCCAAAAGACAAAAGATGAGTTTAAGGCTCTACTAGGTTAATGTGTATACTA